GTCCTTCATTTCAAAATTCCCGAAACGATCAACAGTTGGTTCCATGGAGAACGTCGTGCCCTTTCACTCTTCATATGTCTGGACGTTTCATGTAATGTACTTGCACGGAAAAAGTGAATAGCATTTTGTTCACCGTCGTGACATTTTGATTGATACTGTATTATTATTGACATTTTGTAGACTCTATGTGTGATTCGATAGATCAGGCCAAAGAAGTTGTACTAAAGATCATGGAGGAACTATTGCAAAATGGCATTCTTGTCGAAGCAGACATTACATGCTTTTTCTATAGTTCTTCATGCGTTGAAGTAAAATTCAGTGATAATCCGGATATGCTTTGGGACAATGGTGAAATACAGGAATACTTCAACAGCGTGGAGGCAGGCGGAGGTATTTACAATGGTTTTTAATTAGCATTTTGTTATTTGTTACAAGATGCTTGATTTACTTACCACGTACCATATCTCTAGGTACTGATTTCGAGAAAGTTTTTAAATCGATCATCGAGAACCTTGATAATGTAAACAGCAATAACGATTTGGCCATCATCTTCTTTACGGATGGCAAAGATTCCATAAGAGACGATACCAAAAAGGAACTAGAGGATGCCTTGTTAAAAACCCCTTACACGACCGAAGTTCACACAATTGGATTTACCGAAGGTCACGATGCTTGTGAGTGTTTGTTTATTGACATTTTTATTCATAACCTTTATTTGTTTATGATTGGAGAATGAATATCTTTTTGATTTGTAGCTCTTCTTTCGTGGTTAACAACGTGTGGAAGCAAAGGAGGAAATTTCATGTACATTAAAGATTCAAATGAAATTCCAAATATATTAAGTGTGATGATACCATTGTTAGAATTGAGAGATAGGACTCTTTATGTTAAGGTCGGAGATCAAGATCCCCTGGCAGAACAATTTGATGATCAAGGTTCCGGAACGGTTATCCTCAAAGGCAAGGTGGAGGGTGAACGAATCACAGTATTGAGACATTTGCGGAGTCACGAGAAGTACGAATTTCAACCACCACACCAAATTTCCAATAGCAATCCAAAGGCAATACAATCAATAATCTATTACATTCAACATGAAATCCAAATTTTCACGAATGAAATCATCAATCATATCAAGCATAACGAACACGAGAGAATCCAGCGACTCTTGATTGAAGTAGAAAGATATGAAGAACAATTGAACGACATTCTGATAACGGCCTCCAAAAAAGTATTGGACATGCACGACGACATAATTCAGGATACCAAATCTACCATCGGCGAGTTCAAAATCATCTTGACCAAGTTCGTAGTAACATTTTTTCTCACTTTACACTCACTTGCATCTGCAGTATACAATGCTAACATTGTCAAATCACCTAGGAAATCAGATGGTAGTTTGACAAATGACAAGATTGCAAATTTCAACGACTTGATATACAAGAATATCCGCGAACTGAAAAATCCCACCATCTTTAAGACCCCTACACAAGTATGAATATAACAATTAGCGACGCCTTTTTCTTTTTTCTCTTGACTTTATTTAATCAAAAATCGATATTGTTATTTTATTAGGAAATCGAAGAAGTATCAGACAGCGAAAACACATCCGTCAGCGATGACACAGATGACAGTTCGATCAGCGATGACAGATCGATTTCGTTGCTATTGGATAAAATCAGCTCCCTCGAGGCCAACATGAATCAGAAATTTGATCAATTACAATCCAGGTTAGTAAAATTGAAAAAAATCGAGTGTGACCATCTTTTCAATTTGTATACATACATAATAAATTATAATAATAACTATAAAATATTATATAGTGTTATAAAAGCCGAGAAAGCAATAGAGAATCAAGATAATCAAAAGGTCGAAGAAAAAGAAACTGTCAGTCAGGATGAACAAGATAATCAAAAGGTCGAAGAAAAAGAAACTGTCAGCCAGGATGAACAAGATAATCAAAAGGTCGAAGAAAAAGAAACTGTTAGTCAGGATGAACAAGATAATCAAAAGGTCGAAGAAAAAGAAACTGTTAGTCAGGATGAACAAGTATGATTTCAACAAAACTCGCATTCTACTGTATATATTTATTACATTTCAACTGACTGTATTACGATTCTATTCTCCAGAAGGTTCAGAAGAACACTAAAAAACCGATTATATGTGGATCAAAGATTGCTCTTGTTCACGTGTCCACTGGAAGATATTTGTCTGCTAGAAGAGGTCTACGAGGCACAGCGGTAGATATCCATCTATTTATTTGTTCACATTGTTACATACTAGTTTTTGTGCCAGAGAGACTAAGTTTCTTTATTTTAAAAAAAGACCGTCAGTCAAGAACAGGACATTAACTATGATACTGATCTCTGGACCATTACCGAAGCCAATAATAGTAAGGGTATGAGCATGGGACATCCCGTACATCTCAAGACCACTATTAGGCTTAAAAATGAGGCAAAAACGGGAAATTTACATTGCACGTCCACCAAAATAAAGGGGAAAAACTCTGCGAAAAGAAAAGGTATTTTTTTTTTTGATTCGTTTTTACGTAAAAAACAAATGACGATAACAATCGATTACTGTATTTTAGTGACCCTCTATTCGGGAAGCAATGCTGACGATGATTGGCTTATCCAACGATGTGAACCTAGTGACAGTAACACAAATTATCTGGCAAATGGTGATATCGTCTGTCTTGTACATAATGCGACCAAAAATCACGCGCTTTATTATCGCGAACCTCTGTCAGGTGACGTAAATCATGAAGTTAGCTGTTATGGAAATGGGAAAAAAAATAATAGAGTACGTATAACTCTAAAATTTTTGAAAAATGCTTTGATGTCTGGCATATGTACTAACCATATATCACTCTACAAATATATTAGTGGCGTGTTGAATTAATTAATAATTAGATATACAGCATAGAAGACATGTACAGTACGTCACCTAATTTAAAATCTAATCAATGATTAGGAATGGATGCTTATGGCATCAGTCTCGAGAAACACATGTAAAAAGATTTTTATATTTTCAATAAATAATGTTCATTGCATGCAAAGGCATTCACACTGTAGCTGGTTTATACAACTTATAATTTATGATTTATTGTATTAATTTCGAAATTCAAATATACAGTATGTGTAAAAATTGTTTCTCTAACGATAAAAGTTTGCTGTATAAATAACAATTCCTAAAAAGCAAGAATCTTTTCCTGTACAATTTCCTTCATAAATGAGTTACTGTAATTATTAAAGTTAATGTAAATTTTTAAATCGTTAGAAGATAGTAAACGACACTTGATTAATATTTGCTGTTTTTATCGGTTCAGTTCAATTCAGTTAATTCTTGCTTTAAACACTTATATTTATTGAAATCATTTTTATACTCATCATTAATTTTCATGTTATTGCTAACCGTTTTCCGAAAAAAACCTTTTTAAAAAAATTAATTAAAAAAGTTTCAACTCATTAACTAATTGATTATTTTAATAATGTGATTATTTGTGGTTTTTAATACTATTTGTATATACACTGACTTTATTTCTTCTTTACTTCGTTTTATCTAGCATTTTTTATTAAAGTAATCATCACTTTTTAATAACAACTTTCCTGTAAGTTTCAATAAAGGTATTTTTTCATAATCTCCTGAATATAATAAGCAAGCATCAAATCAGACTTTTTAAATCATTTTACGTATGTTGTTTATTGATATAATCATTAAGATTCTTTAATGTATGCAATTTGAAGGATCGTGTTATACAACCGCAATCTAACAATTTTATCGGCTAATGATATAAGACAAATAAATTAGCGGGACAAATTTTATTTTAAAAAAGTATGGATTTTACAGGTCTGGTATGGATCATGTGCGCTCATTACTAGCTGTCTCGTGACTTTATGATAGTCTCTTTATTCTCGCAATATGATTGGTTACAGAAGAAAGTTATTGCATTTACAAATGATTTTAGGATCAATGAGCTTTTGCAAATTATATAGGTCTTGGTGATGCTTAAGATTTCTTGCACCATCTAACACTGCTACCAAGTTGTAAATTGTTGATTGGTGGATTTTCAGGAAAGTGAAGAGAAAGGGTGGTTATTTAAATGATTTTTTTAAAATTATACTGTATATAAAGAAAATTTTTTTAATTTGGGAGTCTTATTTTTGGAATTATTATATAATGATATTATACTTTGATTTTTAGTAATTGAAATCAAATTCTTATGATTTATAATTTCAATCAATTATTTATAATCATATTTAAAAAAATTCAATAATTCAATTTGATTTAATTTTTAATTCTTAAATTTATATTAAATTTAATAACTAAGGATTCTAATAATTTGATTTTATTTTATTCTTGATTTTCAAATTTATATTAAATTTAATATGTGGATTATAAGCTATTATTATTTTTAATAGTCTTTTGAGTCTGTTCAATTTTAATTTTCAAGATTATAATTATAATTTACATCATTTTAAATAGTATTTCAAATCTTATTCAATTCTATGTAATTCTGTTCAATTACAATTTTTAAAACTATATGTAAGTCTATATTAACATATTTGATTTCAATTTTCAATATTATAATTTTTATAATTCAGTAATATACAAAAATATCATTATTTTTTCTATAACAAGATTATATAATATTTTTAATAAAAAAACCTCCAAAAATATTAATTTACTTAATATTTTGTTTTTAACTTTAATAGTTTATTTTTTTTAATTGTTTTTTTAATATATTAATATAAATAATAATGTTATTATAAAAGTAAAAGAATAATAAAAAGGTATTATAAAACTCTCTCCTGATCGCGTCCGTTTTGTTAAAAATTTTCCTTTTATGGTAATTTTAAGCAAGAAAAAATGTTTT